ACACGACACCAATTTGTTGAAACTAAATGTACACCCATCCCCATCAAATACTGTCTGAGACACGACACCAATTTGTAGATACTGAATGGACACGCACCCCTATCAAATACTGTCTGAGACACGACACCAATTTGTAGATACTAAATGTACACCCACCCGCATCAAATACTGTCTGAGACACGACACCAATTTCTAGATACTGAATGTACACCCGACCCAATCAAATACTGTCTGAGACACGACACCAATGTGTAGATACTGAATGAACACCAACCCACATCAAATACTGTCTGAGACACGACACCAATTTGTTGATACTGAATGTACACCCAACCCAATCAAATAATGTCTGAGACACGACACCAATTTGTAGATACTGAATGTACACGCACCCCATCAAATACTGTTTGAGACACGACACCAATTTGTAGATACTGAATGTACACGCACCCCCATCAAATACTGTCTGAGACACGACACCAATTTGTAGATACTGAATGTACACCCAACCCAATCAAATACTGTCTGAGACACGACACCAATGTGTAGATACTGAATGTACACCAACCCCAATCAAATACTGTCTGAGACACGACACCAATTTGTAGATACTGAATGTACACCCACCCCCATCAAATACTGTCTGAGACACCACACCAATTTGTAGATACTGAATGTACACCCACCCCAATCAAATACTGTCTGAGACACGACACAAATTTGTAGATACGGATTGTACACGCACCCCCATCAAATACTGTCTGAGACACCACACCAATTTGTAGATACTGAATGTACACCCAAGCCAATCAAATACTGTCTGAGACACGACACCAATGTATAGATACTGAATGTACACCCACCCCCATCAAAGACTGCTTGAGACACTACACAGTTATTCAGACACTGCGTGTAATCCCACTTCCATCATATGCCGTCTGAGACACCACGCCGTTGTGTAGACACTGCATGTACACTCACCCCCATCAAATACTGTCTGAGACACCACACCATTGTGTAGACACTGCATGTACACACACACACCCATCAAACACTGTCTGAGACACCACACCATTGTGTAGACACTGCATGTACACACACACACCCATCAAATACTGTCTGATACACTACACCATTGTGTAGACACCGAATGTACACCCACCCCCATCAAATACTGTCTGAGACACCACACCACTGTGTAGACACTGAATGTACACCCACCCCCATCAAATACTGTCTGAGACACGACACCAATTTGTAGATACTGAATGTACACCCACCCCAATCAAATACTGTCTGAGACACGACACCAATTTGTAGATACTGAATGTACACCCACCCCCATCAAATACTGTCTGAGACACGACACCAATTTGTAGATACTGAATGTATACCCACCCCCATCAAATACTGTCCGATACACCACAACATTGTGTAGACACAGTATGTACACCCACCCGCATCAAATACTGTCTGAGACACGACACCAATTTGTTGATACTGAATGTACACCCATCCCCATCAAATACAGTCCAAGACACGACACCAATTTGTAGATACTGAATGTACACCAAACCCCATCAAATACTGTCTGAGACACGACACCAATTTGTAGATACTGAATGGACACGCACCCCTATCAAATACTGTCTGAGACACGACACCAATTTGTAGATACTGAATGTACACCCAACCCAATCAAATACTGTCTGAGACACGACACCAATTTGTAGATACTGCATGTACACCCACCCCCATCAAGTACTGTCTAAGACACCACACCAATTTGTAGATACTGAATGTACACCAAACCGCATCAAATACTGTCTGAGACACGACACCAACTTGTAGATACTGAATGTACACCCACCCCAATCAAATACTGTCTGAGACACCACACCAATGTGTAGATACTGAATGTACACCCACCCCCATCAAATACTGTCTGATACACCACACCATTGTGTAGACACTGCATGTACACCCATCCCCATCAAATACTGCCTAAGACACCACATCATTGTGTAGACACTGCATGTACACCCACCCCCATCAAATACTGTCTGATACACCACAACATTGTGTAGACACAGTATGTACACCCACCAGCATCAAATACTGTCTGAGACACGACACCAATTTGTTGATACTGAATGTACACCCATCCCCATCAAATACAGTCTAAGACACGACACCAATTTGTTGATACTGAATGTACACCCACCCCCATCAAATACTGTCTGAGACACCACACCAATTTGTAGATACTGAATGTACACCCAACCCAATCAAATAATGTCTGAGACACGACACCAATTTGTAGATACTGAATGTACACCCACCCCCATCAAATACTGCTTGAGACACGACACCAATTTGTAGATACTGAATGTACACCCACCCCCATCAAATACTGTCTGAGACACGACACAAATTTATAGATACTGAATGTACACGCACCCCCATCAAATACTGTCTAAGAAACGACACCAATTTGTTGATACTGAATGTACACCCATCCCCATCAAATACAGTCTAAGACACGACACCAATTTGTAGATACTGAATGTACACCCACCCCCATCAAATACTGTCTGAGACACGACACCAATTTGTTGAAACTAAATGTACACCCATCCCCATCAAATACTGTCTGAGACACGACACCAATTTGTTGATACTGAATGTACACCCACCCCGATCAAATACTGTCTAAGACACGACACCAATTTGTAGATACTGAATGTACACCCAACCCCATCAAATACTGTCTGAGACACGACACCAATTTGTAGATACTGAATGTACACCCACCCGCATCAAATACTGTCTGAGACACGACACCAATTTGTACTTACTGCATGTACACCCACCCCCATCAAATACTGTCTAAGACACCACACCAATTTGTAGATACTGAATGTACACCAAACCGCATCAAATACTGTCTGAGACACGACACCAATTTGTAGATACTGAATGTACACCCACCCCCATCAAATACTGTCTGAGACACCACACCAATGTGTAGATACTGAATGTACACCCACCCCCATCAAATACTGTCTGAGACACGACACAAATTTGTAGATACGGATTCTACACGCACCCTCATCAAATACTGTCTGAGACACCACACCAATTTGTAGATACTGAATGTACACCCACGCCAATCAAATACTGTCTGAGACACGACACCAATGTATAGATACTGAATGTACACCCACCCCCATCAAAGACTGCTTGAGACACTACACAGTTATTCAGACACTGCGTGTAATCCCACTTCCATCATATGCCGTCTGAGACACCACGCCGTTGTGTAGACACTGCATGTACACTCACCCCCATCAAATACTGTCTGAGACACCACACCATTGTGTACACACAGAATGTACACCCACCCCCGTCAAATACTGTCTGAGACACGACACCAATGTGTAGATACTGAATGTACACCCACCCCCATCAAATACTGTCTGAGACACCACACCAATTTGTAGATACTGAATGTACACCCACTCCCATCAAATACTGTCTGAGACACGACACCAATGTATAGATACTGAATGTACACCCATCCCCATCAAATACTGTCTGAGACACGACACCAATGTATAGATACTGAATGTACCCCCACCCCCATCAAATACTGTCTGAGACACGACACCAATGTGTAGATACTGAATGTACACCCACCCCCATCAAATACTGTCTGAGACACGACACCAATTTGTAGATACTGAATGTACACCCACCCCCATCAAATACTGTCTGAGACACGACACCAATGTATAGATACTGAATGTACACCCACCCCCATCAAATATTGTCTGAGACACGACACTAATGTATAGATACTGAATGTACACCCACCCCCATCAAATACTGTCTGAGACACGACACCAATGTGTAGATACTGAATGTACACCCACCCCCATCAAATACTGTCTGAGACACGACACCAATTTGTAGATACTGAATGTACACCCACCCCCATCAAATACTGTCTGAGACACGACACTAATGTATAGATACTGAATGTACACCCACCCCCATCAAATACTGTCTGAGACACGACACCAATGTATAGATACTGAATGTTCACCCACCCCTATGAAATACTGCTTGAGACACTACACAGTTATTCAGACACTGCGTGTAAACCCACTTCCATCACATGCTGTCTGAGACACCACGCCGTTGTGTAGACACTGCATGTACACTCACCCCCATCAAATACTGTCTGATACACCACACCACTGTGTGGACACTGCGTGTACACCCACGCCAATCAAATACTGTCTGAGACAATACACCAATGTGTAGATACTGAATGTCTATCCACCTCCACCAAATACGGTCTGATACACTACGCAGTCATGCAGAGACTGCGTGTACACTCACCTCCATCAAATACTGTCTGATACACTACACGATTATGTAGACATTGTGTGTACACCCACTTTGATCAAACACTGTCTGAGACATCACAGTTCATCAAACACTGCTAGTGTAGATCTCTAAAACTGCAGTTGGCTTTTCCTGGAACACAGGTTTTCTACCTGGTGATGACTGACAAGTACGACATGTTCCTGGGATGTGTTTTCGTTGCCTTGCGTTTCTCTTCATACATTTCGATTTCAAAACCAATTCCATGTATATCCGTGGTACAACTTGCAATTTAAAGTATTTACCTGCCACACAATCATAGCACTAACAAGTCAAACAATTGTACCTCGAACAACGCATGCATTAATTGTTTTAATAAACCTTATAAATTTGATAATAATTGAACTGTCATAATAATTTCACATTAATGAAAATATTGATATGTCATAATGGTTACACCTTTCCATTTGCTTCTGTATTTGTATCACTCAAATTGATAAATTCGGCTCGCTGACTGATGGCATTATAGTTGCTGCATCGCGGCTCCACTGATGTCACAAGGTGTTACAACAGATGCCGTGGTGTCAGGTGTGGCTGGGCCAAGCTGCTTTTGTCACTCAAATTATGTTTTGACAGACTGGCAATTAGCCTTTATTATCAACAAAGAATCTGCCAGCACGGGATTGTCCGTCACTTCTCTCTTCGACACGCCTCAATGATTCCATTGTAAGAATAACATGTGAATAGTCGCATGTATTCTCTAACAGACGCCAGGTAATTCATTAAATGGGCGGTAATCCCGAGGAATTTGTGCAGTGACCTTGAGTTGGCTGCCTGACGGGCGTTTAGTCAAGGGATTACACCAAAGAAGACACACATCACGACAACACTGTTGGACCATATTATGTCCACTCTCAGCTACAGAAACGAGGTACGCTTCTCGGACACTGAGATGGACCCTGTCACCTTAGACATAGCTGAGCCCTTCACTGACCGCTCGTCGTCGCTCTCGTCAAGGTACGTACTGCTTTCGTCCACTTTAAGAAGAAAAAATAGAAACGTGTACACAATATGACATAGCCAAAACGATGATAATATGATAAATGCTCACATAACGAGCCACGCTTTGTTTACTGTTCGTTTCAGGAGGACGTCTTGTGAGGGCACAATTCCCCGCAGTATTCTCAAGACTAGGAAGAATGTAGAGCATTGGCTGTAAGTACAGACAAGTTCGTGGAGAGACCTCCGCCCGTACCCCCCTCCAAAAGTTACAAATATTTACGTATAACGTGTGTCTTTGATATATATATATATATATATATATATATATATATATATATATATATATATATATATATATAATTAATATATAATGAATATATGATATATAACGTATATATGTATATATATGAGGGGGGAAACTTGCGGAAGTCTTACCCAACTTAGTTTACATTTTATTTTACACCTCAAGTCAGACTGAGTAATCGGCCTTCTGACAATCGAGTCTGAACTGGACAGCTATGGCGGCTCGGGTGGCCAGGTCTAAGGCGCCGCAATTCACTGTGCAGAGTTGCGTCCCTTGGGCACGCAAGAAACCAATGGTCGTGGTTTCGAATCCCGGTTAGCCCCAATTGTTTCTAGGTATGTCAGAATCATACCCGTGCTCGCGTGCTTCACAACAAATGATAGACATAATTAGCTATCCATGCGGTCGGGGTACCATGCATTGATGACAACCAAGTTACAAGTCTAACCACCTCATTCATTTGATCACCTCAATACAAGACAGGCATAGCTAGGTTATTGCCGGCCTACCAGGAATTCCGGTCCCTTCAAGTACATCAGCGCACAGATATATATTCCACCCTTCAACATGGGTTGTATAGCATAACTGATTGTAGGTAGGATGCAGCGGCGGCAAAAACAATAATAATATTTTTTATCCAGAGATTAACTTGTATTGGGAAGCTCAAAATAAAATATCATGGATCAATTGACTATAACCAACACAATCATCATGGTAAACCGAACCTAACCTGACGGAAACAGTTCCATTCATCACTTTGCCCAGTTATTTCCATATGGCTTATATAAAATGTACCCAGTGGTAAATTTAAGGTAACTGGTCAATTCGTTGAATATTTCCAGCCAGGATGGATCATGTGCGGACCACGATGACGTATTTCATGGCTTCTCCAAGTCGTTCCTGCCCGGCCTGCACGAGTGGACGGAATGGAGGACGCAGATGAATGACGCTATGGTTGACCTGATTGAGAAGCGTCATCGCATCTTCAGCTACCCTGGTTCCGTGCGTCATCTACAGAAACACCAGACTGTCATGAAGAATCTGGTTGAGCCGGATTTCCTCATCACCAAACAGGCGTCAGAGTTTGCTCTCCAGCGCGCAGTGCATGATTACGTCACCGGAAATGACGGATTTCATTTACAAGCGCCCACGTTCATAAGTTTCGGCTTGCCACGGGTCCGACTGCGGTCTAACTCAACATACCTTGCCGACGACAGACATTCTGAGAGCAACACTGACACCGGAAGTAGCATCGGCACCGTAAACGGAAGTGATAGTACTAAACCTACTTTTGACAATTCAAGCATAACAAAACCCGTTCTAGAGTATACTTCCGGTGCTGATTCTGCGCGTGCTAGCATGACTAGTTCCCCCGAAATTGGCGATGCCAATCGAAACGTTCCACAGCAGCTACCCACAGACAAGACGGTGGTAATTGTGGCGTCTACAGAGTCGCAGCCGTCGGTGAGTGAGTGCAGTGGGTGTGACACTGGGCGAGGCGGGAGACCGAGAGACACGGAGTCACTGTGTGCTATCCTGGATCTCAGGGAAGATTCGGACGATGGCTTCTGAACATGTTACGTCATTTCGTCAAGCCAGTCCCTGCTAATCATACGTGCTATATCTTTGTCCAAGTCAGGTCCTGGATGCAAATGTATATAATAAATGTATTGTAAATATACAACTGTTCACCTGTGTCAACGTGCACACCTTGTTCTCTTTATACACTGCAACATGTTCTATTAAAGTTGTACAAACATAAAGTTGTGTTTTCTCACTTGATTTCTTGACACACAAATTACTATTTTATTGGGAAATATATGGTGAGCGGTGATGAACTTTTTCCAGGTGTATATTAAAGAAGCTGCATTAATATTAGTTATATTTACCGTAACAGCTTGATTGCGCTTGTTGTGCATTCTAATTAATGACGATAAGACACAAGCATGCCATGTTCGATAAACCCGTCAGAAGTACAAACCATTTGCTTGTTTTCTAACTGCTCCACGGTAATATATTTTATCTTCCTTTTCAATTACTCCGCCTGCTTCTTTGTACAATAACCTATGATCGCGGGTTTGAATCCCGGTTTGCCCCAATTATGTTTCTAGGTTTGTCAGCATTACACTCGTGCTTGCGGTTTAAGTCTGAGACCTGCATCACATCGGGCTTTGCTCCCACATTAAGCTGAATCCCATCATATATTTTGAATACTGTTCAAAGCGGCGTTAAACCCAACATCGCTCACTCACCCTTTGTACCATATGTGACCCAGGGCTTACGGTCAACTGCGCAACAGATGTCGTTTGTGTCTTGGGCATTGATATAAAGGAGAACTGGCAAACAAAGTCGTTATTCACCATCTAGCCATATTGTAACAATTTCAAGATGCTTTGTCCGTCAATATTTCGACCTGTCCAATGCAACCATAAGGCTCATGAAGCTGAAAAATTCACGTACGATACTATAGTCCTGACCACTTCAATAAGAATCACGAAATATCGCGATGGCAAAAAAAATAAGATGCATGTGTGTTAATACTTACAAAGTGAAAGGATTCATTCCGACAATAAGGAGTATTACTTACACTAATGACAAAACTTGTGAAGTGCATTTTTCAAGAAATATCCAATTTGCTTGCCATAAACATCATCAATTTGTTAATTCATCATCGCAACATTTCGTGATTCTCTTTCACGTGGCGAGGACTATACGAACGATTTCTAATCATAAGATGCAAATAAACTTGTCACCTGTTCTACCGTATGTGACGTTTACTCATCAAAGCTGACAAAAGTATTTGAAACGGACGTAAAGTATTCAGAAAACAGTTTGAATTTGAGTAGCGAGCTATATATAGCATACAGCTGAAACTACAGAACTAAATATAGCTTACTGCTGAACCAGAGGTATCTGTGGCGTACTACTGAAATCACAGAGGCCTATGTGCCGAACTGCTGAAACCATATCAATATACGTAGTACTGGCATGTTGATATATATACGTGTTACCGACGGCAGCATGCTTTATATGGAATACTAAACGAGCTCCCGTGTAATACCAATTTTATGAAACGATTGAATAGTTCTGGTATTTCACGAGCGAAAGCGAGAACCAGAACTATTCACGAGTTTCATAAAATTGGTATTACACGGGAGCTCGTTTAGTATTTTATTTATTACTTGCCATTTTTAACTTTTTTTTAAAGAATTTCACTGTCGGGTATGAAAACGATAAACAACATAGTCCAATTTGGTTTAACAGAATAATACTTCAAACATGTAAAACGGTGACACATATTAATTTATAAACATACAACGGCCCATCTTTAGAATTCAGGCGTCAATTCCACAAAGTTATCGTAGCGCTTTGGTTATCGTAAATCACACACTTTAACAGAAACTTATGACTGTCATTGCGCTACAGTACGATCGCCTTGTGGAACGGGACCTGCACCACAAAGTTCACAATCGCGTCACAATACTCTATGACGTAATTTGTAGAATTTTGTTGCAAGATCCACCGACGAAACAATGCCATATGTGACGTCAGCCTAGCAACGGGGTTGCTGGGGTTATTGAGTGTGCATGAGCTCCTCTCGTTGATCTATCATCTCCTCACGTAATGCCGTTGAATAAACCAAGCGATGCTGAGAGCCTTCAATGTTTGTTTGTGGAACTTGTTACAGCAGTACATAAAGCCCCCTGTTACGACGTAAATTGTAATAAAAAGGTAAATTGTAATACTTGCAGCAAATTGTCCTGTTACGACGTAAATTGTAATAAAAAGGTAAATTGTACTACTTGCAGCAAATTGTAATAATTTTGACGTAAATTGTAATAAGAACGTAAATTGTAATAAAATTTGACGTAAATTGTAATAATCTCAACTTGCGGTAAAATGTAATAACTTTTTACGTAAATTGTAATAACCTTACAAGTTTAGTGTCAAAGGCGTTAAATGACTAGAACCTATCCTTGTCAGGGTTGGTACAGGGTTTATCGTACAATCGTCATTAAAGTATGGGTGTGGGGGAGGATTGAGGTCGTTATCGTACATTGTTGTATAATTATATGTATATATAAACTCATTGGAATTTCATTTCTATGGTTGTCCAGAAGAGGATTAATTACTAGAATGAACTAAGTCTTAGTTTTCTTATTTATTTGAGAAATACTCTGTGTGTTTTATACTTAATTGTAATATATCCTATTGACGATTTTCATCATAATTGTTCATATTTAACCTAATGGAATCATATTTCAATTGGTAAAGTAGGTAGTAATATACACAATGGAACAATTATAACGTAACAAACTTACACAAATATATTGATGTGGAAATGTGGAAAGTCTGACTTTTACAGACTGAAGCAAATTTATTTATTTTGCAACTGTATATTTGTACATATTTTATGGGGAGAGTGGTTTACTAAGTTGCAAGAACTTGTCCCCAATACAATTCTCATTTTGTTCTGTGAATAAAATATGTTTAAACTAAACTAAACCAGCAAATGGATGACATGTCATTCTGCAGTAGTCTGTGTGCAAGCTGATTTATACATGCTCATATACATAATATCAATTTATTGTTATTCAAGTTTCAATTTTATTAACGTTGCTCGGAGGATGTAAAGGAAATAATGACAATGTCCTGGGCGATGTACATGTAGGTATGTGAACCCGCAAGGACCACTTTTATCAATTATTTTACGTGCAGCTTGTGTCATGTCTGTATTGTTGGAATGATACTCTAGCAACTGTACACATCGAAATTTATGACTGAAAGATCCATCCTCGGGTTAAAAATGATGGATTACATTAGGTACGTCCATTCGACAAATAGGTTAATTGATTTATCATCCAATAGTAGCTTAGCTAGGAGTCCATTGCAATAACATTGAGTTACGAGTTACCGAAGAGAGCTCTGTGCAACCGGACCCTGAAATTATGTCGATTTGCATTTGAGGTTTACTTAATTTGATAAGGAGCACATGACCGTTTCCTTGAAACAAACGAGACAATTCAATCGTATTTATACATTATATTTTGACGAAGAATTCAAATACAACAAATGAGTGACAGATCTCCTGTGCAATGTCAAAGGGAAAAAAAACAGTCGTCAGCAAATGCAGCATATATTTCCCATGCATGGGAAATGAGAATACTTAATACATAACATTATATATAATGTTTTTATTAATATCAAAAGAAGGGCATGGATATAGTTTACCTACATGGCATATACTATTAGATATTGTGTATTCTCGATCTCTGTGAACTTCTCACACATAAATAAATAATAATAAATAAATGCAAACCATGTTAACTTATGCAATATGTGTAGCAATGTATGATGAACATATGGATCATTAATATAACATAAAATATTTCCTTTCATTGGAAGAAGTATATTTAATGAAATAAATGAATAAATGTAACTGTCTGGATTCCTTTCATATGTCATGAAGAACTAACAACAACTTACTGACAACTTTTGCGGAGATAATAACTCCTTGCCCCAACAACAAAAACAGAATCCATCATGATAACGGCACGAAATCATAATTCAAAGCACACACAAATAATTTCGGGCATGTCTTGTTGAGTTTCAAAGAGCATCAGAATGTATAATAAATTTGTTGCAATCAATTATAGCTGAAATATATCTGTTTTGATCAAAATTGAAAGGATGGAAAATCTATTATGAAAAGGGTTTTGTCACTAACGTAAATATTCTATTTGACCGTATACGAGGAGTATTCTAAGATCATTAAACTCGGCAATCGTTGGTGGATTGCGTCAAGCAACCTTGATACCAAATTTGGTACCTCACGTATAATGCGCGATACATAATTTTCGAAACAGATAATAACATTTTTCATAAGTTATCACTAATTTGTGACATATATACGGACAAAAATTACCTCAGAGGATAATCTTCTCTGGGGGTTTAAGAGGATTAAAATAATTCCAGCTAACATCAAGCACTGTAATAAAATATTGAAATTATAGCATACCTTCTTAACATTCCAATGAAAAGAATAGTGACTAGCTAAGAAACCAAATTATATGTATCTCCGATACTATGCCCTCATCAGTATATACACACACACACACACACACACACACACACACACACACACACACACACACACACACACACACACACACACACACACACACACACACACACATAAATACACACATACACACAAACACACATATACACACCAACACACACACATACAGACAAACACATACACACATAGGTATGTATGTGCGTGTGTGTTTGTGCGTGCGTGTGTGTGTGTGTGTCAGTAAATACGACCTCTATATGTCATTGGTATCAGATCTAAGACTGCACTTCTACATATAGTTCCAAGTGAAAGATGAGTGACACTACTTTGTGAGAGGTCCCACAAAAATGCTGATATGAGCAATTAATGGTTATACAAAATGTAACAAATGAACAAAGTAAGATATTTTAAAAGATAAAATAGAAACACAAACTGTACTCCGAACAGTTGGAGTACATATATATATATATATATATATATATATTACACACAAAGGTAAAAAACTGTTTAGGGAAGTTTGGTACAGCATTTATCGTAAAATCGTCATTAAATATGACTTAGTGTGGGGTGTGAGAACTTTTTGAAACTTGATATATCGAACATTTTTGTATATATATAAACTCACTGGAGTGTTATTTCTGTAGGTTAAGTACGTGGTTATCAACACAATGCATTTATATATAA